ATTGCCGATTAAACATTTAGTAGATTCTTCAAAACGGCATCTAGAACAATAGCTTACGGTAATTTGGCAAAACGGTGTCTAGAGCAATAATTTTCGTTAATTCTTCGGAACGGTATCTAGAACAGTGCTTTACGGCAATTTTAATGGTTTCGGGCAAAAAAACCGTCACGCATCATACGCTTGCCTTGCTGGTTTCTTTTCTCTACCACGCACGTGTTTTATTTTCTATTTAATTATTCTTTTGAGCAATTCTAAAAGAAAATCTACATTGCTGAACTAACAGCAACCGCATCCAACAGCAAATGAAAGGTGTTCTTAAACAATAATTTTTCTTGCAAAGAACACCTGGAATTATCCCTGCAATTACTTATATTTTCGTGGTGCTGAAGATATAAAAAAAAAATGAGAACTCATAATTTTTAGACCGCGAGGAATGTTGATACGGCAAGGTCGTATTAGTATAGGCGCGTGCTTTACTGGTGCTGGCTAGCAATAATGTACATTTTAGAAATCCTCCCAAAGTTTTGCACGTCGCGCTGTCCTGGGCCCAATTAACAGTTCAAATTATACGTGCGCTTGTGTAAAAAAGTCCCGGTCTTTATCCCGGCCTCGGTTACTCACTACACTAGCAAAAATTATCTAAGAAGTAAGAGACTGAATTGAATTGCAATTGGTTGTTCACGTTATCGTGGACACAATTACCAAGTCAGAGTAACAGGCTTTGTTACTCAATTACATTAGCAAAGGTTAATTAGTAAGAACTAAAGAAAGCAAAATGAATAAACCAGAATGGTTGTCACTCAAGTAAAGTTTTGCGTGCAACTGTGTTATCCATGCGGAGTAATTGTGTATTTATATTATATATATTTATATTATAAATATATATATATATATATATATATATTTGTATTATTTATGTACATAGATATGTAATATAAAAGTAGAATTGTTATCTACTTTGCGAAAAGCAAATAGTTTGCAATAAATTCTGATTTCGCCGGACTTATTCACACTCTAGGGCGAAAACATGTCGTTAAACTTCAAATAAGAGATCATTGTCTTTGTTTTATCGTTTTTTTGCTGAAATTCAATTTTCCATTATTTTGCTTGCGCCAGAGAAGTACACTTTATATATCTTTTCTTCTAAGTACACAATTAGAGGGGCTCCAAGTTTTCTGAAATCTAATTTTGTATATATTGTTTGCTTTCCAAATTTTGCAAATACGTGACCGTCTGGTACAAGTTGAAGATTTTAGGACGTACGTATTAAAGAAATTCTTTTAATCAGACTATAACAATTTTGAGCTCTGCCAACCTATGGAAATTACCTTGTCCATCCTTTTATTCGATAAATCTCACTTATGTACCGTTTGACTGCGAAAGCATTTCGAATAGTAGTCCATCAACTCAGCAATGCCACTGCATGATAGTCTTGGTCATAAGCATATCAGAAACCATTGCGTTTATTATAAAGTGGCTCTTTTCGAAAAAGGAATTCATAAGGAGTCGGAAACTTCGAAAGTCATAACTGAACAAATGTCGATTTCGTACTAATGATCGAGATATATAATACGAAGGTCACTACATATATTTCTTGCCTTGGTAACACTATGTATACCAGGAAACGTGGACGCCGTGCAAAATGCAATGTTAGCACCCAACATACTCAGCGATTGAGACAAGCTTACAGATTAGTTCCATTAAAATGCATAATATATAATATGATCACTTAACCGTGCAACAGGTTTTTTTTTTTGATTTCCCAAAATTTTACAAACTTTTAAAATATGCTCGTACAGAATGGTGCAAAAAATGCTTAAGAAACACAATGGCGGCGTTTCAAAAGGCGCACGTAAGACCGTAACAGGTGACGAAAGACGATCTATGCGTATGACCAGGAAAGTCGAAAGCATTCGGTTTGATGGTTGTTTCCAGAACAAACGGTCGCTTACTTTGAACCAAATGGTGGCCTGTTTATCAAATAAAACAGATAATATAGTAACAACGCCTTTAGAGGAACGTAAAGCGATCAATTCTCAAAGACGCGCAATCATTTGCGTGCCACAAGTCTTTGATGAAATAAGTAAAACAAACAAACGCCGTCGAAACAATTTTCGACAATGCGACCTCATAAGTGTCTCTTCTAACACCCAATTATTTAAACACTCAAAAAATCGGATTAGTTGGTTGTCCGCCGTACAGACTTCATTTGGTACCTAATAACTATTTTTTGTCAGCGAGCATCAAGAAAAAATTGCGTGCGCGTGCGTGTTCGTCGCCGGAAGAAACCGTCGCTATTTTCCAAAACCATGCTCTGGCGGTAACTTAAGCGGAATGGGGAAAACGTTATGACAAATGCTTTGAACATTTGCGAAAGTTTGTAGATCAATAAGAAGAATGATAGATAAATAAAGTAGAATGCTTTGCAAAACAATAATGCAATAAGAAGTTACTCTTTTTTCATTACTAGGCTACAAATATAAAAAATGCTGTAAGGCATAACTACAACAGCTTTTCCATTTCTTCACAATTTCGATTTAACATATACCCGTTTTTTGTTTTTAAATTTGCGCGCGTTAATGCGACAAACTAGACGTTTGTTATAGGTTTGCATACGCATATCTTGTTCGTAAGTTTATCGTCATTTCAATTCTTTACAGTATTCTTCTTCTTCCATTTTTACAATTATATAAACAAATTCTCTTATTTCCGTTTGTCCGGTTTTTGGACGCATCTGAACTATTAGTATAGGTAACTAATCTCCTGTCTCTCGCTTCGTTACATATCGAGTTCGTAGAAAAGTGTTTGTCTTCTAAAATAAAATTTGCTTGTAAACGCTCTTTTTACTGCCCTCCTTAAAAAAAGCCTTATTCTGCTAGCTTTGGGTTTAATCCCCAAACCGCAATTTCTAAATTATTACTAAGAATATTATTGTAAATGCAAAAAGTATTTATTCTTCAATCCGTCCTGAACTTTTTTACAAACGCTCTGAACCCTGCAGCCGCAATTTATAAAAGTGCGATGGCAGGGTTTGTCCTGTAATTTTAAAGTTCGTCACGATTATACAAGCAAATTCTCTACGATTTAGATCTTCCATCCGGATAGAAGCAAATGAAACTCGAATCATTATTAACACCTTCGAGTGTACATATGTTTTCTTATCCTCTGTCTTATCAGCCGACTTATAGCATCGCTGCGAATTTTGAATTTGAATTTTTTCAAATGTTGCAAGAAGTGTATTTATCGTAACTAAAAGGTAGCTGTAAACACATTGAAAAAAAGTTGTACTCTAATTAAAAAAAAAGTTTTACAGTTTTAACAAGTAATAACACTACAATGGGACGCCGTCCACCATTAAATAGCCTACAGCACCGTACCGGTATTCGAAAAAGTGATCCGATCCCACACATTTTCAATAGCGAACGTCCTTGGACGAAAATGCACCGGTGTACCAAATTTCATCACAATATCGCAAAAATTTCCATCTGTAGGTTGAACAAAAGCAAACACGACCCGTAGAGCGCGCGCTTACTAGCTTAAAGTAATTCAGAAAGTAACACTGAATCGATCGGCATACTAAAGTGTGGGTTAATCTAAAGCCCTTCTGGGTGTTGCATGGAATTTTGAAGGCAATCTGTCTTTAAAAAAAAAAAAATAAACTTTAATGAAAATTTCGTGGCATGTTTGTGCTTTAAACATTTGCTTAGCAAAAAAGACTGATTTCATATTAAAGCTTGAACGAAAATTGCAATTAAATTTCTTGAATTACTTGCGAGAGCTGAACTTCGTCCAACAATCAGGATAAAACAAACTCTTTGATTTGTCCGTGAGACCATATAACCGAAATGCGAATAATGAAAAATATATTCGCATAGTTTGTAACGTAATTTAATGCCTATGTAATTAGGAGAATGAGAATGTGAACAGTCATGCGCTTTACAAGAACACGTGCTTAGGAGTTTCGCTTCATAAATAGCACAAAAATCTCTGAGCTGTTAAATATATAACTCTGCAGAGATATCTCTCAGGAATAGTAAGTAAAGCGGAACAGAAGAAATGAGAAAACAAGAATAGAACATCGTAGATACCGATGATGATGATGATGCTTAAAAGATGTAAATTCCGAAATTGGAACACATTACGATGCATTCGGTTACGTCTGCTCTAAGCAAAAGCGAATAATCGTCCCGTATAAATCGAGATAGCTATGTATGAATTCCAATTTTTTTTCTATGGAAATGATTCCAAAGTGCGCAATGTTTAACGCTAACAAAACAGTTACAGTATCAGTTTAAGGTTTGCATCGTTCGGTATAACACACGCGAATTCTTACAAAGCGGTAACGCAAAGCCTTACATGGTTAATACATACGCCAATAGCCATATAGTAGTGTCTGCTTTGCATATATAAAAAGATCTGCTCGGCATATTTGAATTCGCCTATATGTGCATGTCATGTAATTAAAAATTACACAAATTACTCTGTTGTGGATTAACGTATTAAAAAAAAAAAAAGAAAAAAGTTAGGTGTCATCACACTCCCATAAACATGCGACTCGTTTAAATGCCAAAGAGTGAAACAAAGCAAATGTTTACCAAAGGGATCATGACGACGATGATGGAATAAAACTACGAAGCTGTAAATTCATATGCATAAGCCTACGCGTGTATGGATGCGCTTGCATTTATGTACAAACGATGCCACACAAGGACCTTTGAATAGGTTAAATAAAACAATTAAACGACGACGTACTTATGTGATAAGTGGAAAAACATGTACGTTTCTAAAATATTTATGCGATAATTGTATACACTCTACGGGATAATGAAAGTGATGGACATTTTTTGTTTGTGTGCTTGCACTGTTTTACAAGCATATGTTCTTTTTATACTTCAAAATCAAACGCACAATCTGTTTGTTGAAAATAAAAAACCAGAATAATTTTAAATAAAAAACTTATGTAAAATTTTAAATATTGAAAATACAAAAAAAAAAAAAAAAAATCAAGAAGCAATTGAATATAGTAAAATGTTAACTAATATAATAAATGATATTTTAAAATTATTATATATCCGCCTGACTGGCCGAGCCTTTACCTATGGTCTCGCTTAACAACTTAGTGGTCGTGACTTCAAATCTCAAGTGCGGTAGAATTTTCAATAAATTAGATGCTAGTGCTTTAAGTCTTTAATCTTAGAATTTAACTCTCTGACCAAATTAATAATAATAAAATTATTATGATAAAAATTAGAGTGCAATGAACAACAATTGTGATAGATGAACTTGGCTTATGTTTTTCTTTGGATCGTCAAGAATACATACATACAATACATACAATACATATTATGAAGAGTACCTTTGTGAGGTTTTTGATGTTCGCAAATTTTTGATTGCTGCAAACTGATCGATAATCCTAGCATACTTCATCTTACAATGTTTTGTGGGGCAAACAAAGAAAAAAAAAAAAGATATTGCATCTCCGGTAACAGCCACTTTAAACAGTTCTAGCCGAATGGTAAAGAAATCAATGACTCCCAAGGTGCAAGCAAAAGTGTTTTCGAATTTGTTTTCTAAACTAACTTGGCTGAAAAGTACTTGAAAATATTTATATAAGATATCATTGATGACCGAAGTTGTTAATAGTAATTCAATAATATTTGATTAGAAAGGAATCGCAATCTTTAATTTAATTATAATTATGAACTTCGAAAGATCGCTTAGTATATTACTATTCGCTAATTTCTCTACATCAACAACGACATGAAAAATTAAACAAATAAGATTGTCTATTAGAAGGTGAAGTCAGAGATTCCACGAAACACTTAAATGGATGTGTAGAGAGTTGACTTCTTTACTCTTCGACAGACGAAGACAGGCGGTCTTATGATGAAATGAAGTAACAGCATCATCAAATTAGTGATTATTCAATCGCTTTTTGACGAAGTTTTTGCCTCTCATTAGAATGCATTCAGGCTCTAAATAAACATTTTTTAAAAAGGACTACTTGATTGATTTGCTTTATTTGTTTTTCAAATTTTCAATTATCAAAAAAATAATCTTCAACATACAAATGAAATTCAAACTTCCTTTACTCGTTTAAGCATAGTTTCCGAAATTATCAAACATTATTAGATCTGATCTGACAGGAGAATCTTCATGTTTCAATAGAAAATAAAAAGATAAGAAGATAAAGCCCAAAGGTGCTGTAAAGAAAAAAAAATTTAATTTAAAAAGATCATCGTTGCCTCTTTACTTTTGTAGTATAATAGAAACTGTTATACTATATATCATACAATATTATATAATAATGCTTCTTGGTAAAAACGATAAGGAGTGTTTTATGCCATTTGTAGAATATTTTATATCGCATTTATTTATCATCGTACAAGTGTCAGTGAAACGGATTGTGTTCATTTGACTGGAAAAATGTGTAACAATAAATAATACCAAGAGAAGTAAACAAGAAACTAAATAGAACGAAAAAAAAAAATAAATAAATAAATAAATAAAAAAGAAAATGCCAAGAGAAAAGAAGGAAAACCAAGTGCACTAAACCAACAAACAAAGTGTCCTAAATTTTGTTAAATCTTCTGAAATAGTAAACAGACATAAAGCTGGTTGGTGATGCCTTGTAATGTGATGGCTCAGATATATTTGGCAATATTTTATCACAGAAAAAATATGTACATTATAGTGCCTGGGGTAAAAGAACTACAAAAAAATGTTTTTTCTTTTTTGCTTTTCATATGAAATGCTTAAGAACTGAATCTCTACGTATGGGAGATAAACATATTAAACCAAACAAATGAATAAAATAAATAAAGCGAACAGCGAACTGTTTATGTTAAAAAAAAAAAAAAGATGAAGCTTCGATACGCACTATTCGCGGAATATATTGGAATAGTATTTTACTTAAGCGCCCTTCAATAATTGTGGACATATAAATAATGTGTTTATTGGGGGAACTGTGCGTTTTTAAACACCAGAGAGGCATCCGTATGCCTATATTTTCAATTTTCGTTAGAACATCAATAATTATTTATTAGTTGTTCATTTCAATAGAGTTATCCGTTATCTGTTATCCGTTGGGTTGGCATTTTAACATAACCGAAGCCGCTTGTGGAGTGGAGTGTATTGAGTTTGAGCGGATATATACAACACGCAGGAGAAGCTGAGATAGACCGACCGTTTACTGATCTAGTCTGTTCATCTGGCCGTCTTGTATTCTTTTGTTCAGGAATCTACAATCGAGGTACTTTAATGAAATTTGGTACAAGGCTGAACTCTATTGAAAATAGCTCGGATCGGACGACTTTTTGTAGCACTTCACACACAATGCCTAATTTTGAAAATGAGCTGCATGAATATCTATTGGGTGATGTAGGGTGTTTAATGATGGCTCATGGCCGACTTTATTGCTTATACTTACTTCGTAATGAGTCTGCAATTTCGCTTGCTTGACGGCAGCCTATGTGATTGAACACCATGCCTAGTTCTTGAAAACAACAGCTTATTAATATGTAACGGACAGATTTGTCTCCAGGGTACTGTACTCAGTTGACATAGACACGATAGTCCATATATACCTTAAAAATTTGTTAATGCACCATTTTCACATCTTTTTAGTAATTAATTTTGACACTAATCGTTTATGATATTATGTTACACGCAGTGTTGTGGTCGAGATGATTTTCTTTCGAAATTTTTTTATTCTCAGTGATTTCGCTGTTTATCTAAACGCGGGTCCGCTGCTAAATGTAAAATATTTGAATTAGGTTTTAAAAAAACATCCGTGAGCATGTTGTTCAGCACCCAAGCACTTAGTTTAATCAGGTAACAGGGTCATGTCTCAGCGCGCTACATTATTGTACTCTTCTCTTCTTCGATGTCTTCAAGTCTCTCACTTTCTTTGCGGTATATCGGTACTCGATTCGATAAATTGTTCGCTTTCAGAGTTTTCTCTTCTTGATATACGACAAATTCTAACAAATATGAATTTCGTTATAAAAAGAAAAATCCTGCTAACGCGCTTCATATAGATTGCTATAAAAAGAATGAAAGATTTAATGTGCTCTCATCTCATATAACACAAAAGAAAAAGGAAAATAATAAAGCCACTACAGGACGGTCTCCATCGAACTGAAATTATATCATAAGGAAAACCAAAAAAAAAAAAAAATTTTTTTTCAAACTTCTTGAACAAACATAAGAATATGTGTTGGAAAAAATTGCTTTTGCAGCTATTATTTAATCAAAGAAATTTATGCAAATTGAAGACGTAATGAAATGCAAATATTTATCTGCAAATATGTGCGCTATCCGGGAAAACTTATTGAAAGAGAAACTCAATTATAAGTTTGCACTTTGTAACAGATAAGTTCTGAATAATTTATAATAGTTCTTGCAAGTTAATCATTCTCTGCAATTGCCACAACCTGTTTGATGTGATGCTTTATAACGGTTTCTTTTTCTTTCATTTTATACAATTATGTGGAAACATGATTCGCAAATGCACATGAAAAAAAGTGTTGAAAGCAAAATATCTCATAATTCAATCCCTTCGTAACTACTCTGATGAAGTAATAACAAAAACGCACAAAAACATTATATTCGTTTTTGAAAAAGAACTCAAGGAAAAGAGGAAATATTAAATTTCGTTACATTGGTGGACAAACGGTGGAATTTTTTAGTTTTTGTACCGTTACGGTATTTTGTGGGCGATCCTGAACCGCAGGAACGTTATATCTTCGCAGTACAAGGCTAGTAAAAGAAGCCCAAAAAACCAAAGGTTTTGGTTTATGGCTGATTTTGCCCACCTGTACGCAAGCATTTGCAGTGCCTTTACCTAACTTACAGTAAGCATATTAATTTGTAAAACCGGGAGATGGTCTACCACGAACTAGCACACGCATGAACACACACATCTAACTCTATTTGTAATTGGATATTGATTACGAATATATACGCTTTGCAGGGTCTCTGCCGCATTAATTTGCGTGTGCATTTCGATGCGTAGGGTTAAGTAAATAGTTGTTTTGCAGCACGAGAATCATTCCTTTTCTTTACGCGTGAATAAAACAATTAAAAGGAAATAAATAAATAATATGATTTAAAGAAATTGTCTACGGTACACTCGCTTGAGGGATTTTGTTCCGGGGCTACCACAACATCGCAGCGCGATTTGTTTTTCTTTTTTTTAATGTTCAATGGATTTGTACCATTTTATTATTCAGAGCATATTGCTTTAAATATGAGAATAAGAAAAACATTTAAGATACGAAAGCAATCGAAATATGTCGACGAAGACATATTTCTACAAACATTTTTTATATGTTCTGTAAGTGCCAGAAAAAAGTTGCTCTTTTTCTTCCCTTAAATATTTCAACCAATTTTCACACATTTCCATTTCTTTCGCGAGATGAATATAGCTTATGACCTCTCGATGCTAGATGTAATAGTTGTACTTTATGGAGAAGCTACGCTTTCTCAATAGCGTTACATTTTTGCAATGAAGATACGTCATTAAGGGTCTTATCAGTCCCTATATTGATAGAGAGTGAATGTTTCTTGTACATCTACGTGATTCAGAAAGAAAGCCAGGTAACGGAGAAAATGTAAAGAAAGTAATGTCCGTGTACGTTTGAATTGCGGGGAATATGTGGAGCAAATAGGAAAACCACTCAGTAGTAGAGAACTACTATTCCAACGAAGGCCCTTAGTAGCCGTGGTCGATTGTGCGAATCGGAATGATAGGAAGAGCAGTCCTTGATAGGTTGGCAAATATGTAACAACTTCATAAACTACGCATTAGTAGCATGCAGTTTGACTTACGCTGACGCATAAGTTCCGGGATTGTTCTTTTCTGATTGATTTTGTATAAGTAGTATCCATTTTAAGAAATCATGGGCCGAGCGGTATGCTTATACATCAAATGTTAAATTGTCCACATTTTCGTTTACTCGGAATTCGCAACCGTTTTGAGACTTTAAATAAAACCGAGTTTCCTCCTTCGATTCTTTTAGGACTATAACCTTTTTACAAATTGAACCAAAACTTTCTTAAGTATATCCAACTAAACTTCATATACGTTTATCTAGCTTCTTCATAAATGTTTATCTATCATTTAATCTTTAAGGATAATGTTATGAGTATGAGTCCATGAAGGTTAGACTTTTGATAACCTCCAGAGCAACAGAAAGGCTCACGCTATTCGGAAACTAAAGGGTCTTTCGTTAAGAGTGATAGTCGTTAAGAGATAATTTTTTTATTTTGAAAACCAAACTACTCAACCTATCAAAGTAAAATGTGCTTTATTTTGAAGCTGCTGTTATCTTTAGAGCATAATATGCGCACGATATGTCCAATTGTTCACCACTCTGTCGTTAGTCTGATTGTTCGTCTGCAAATATTCCAAATCTGACGCTTTAACCGCCTGAAAAAACCTCCATGCCAGGCCTGAATAGAGAAACAATGATGGAGCCTAATTCTCTGGCGAACAAGCGATAAGCATCCAAAGGTGAACTGCCGTCTTTTTTTAACGATTTCTAAACGATCGAGAATAGTGAGTCGCTGGATGATGAAGCAAATTATATTAGATATTTACCCACCTGGAAGCACCAAAAGTAAACATATTTGGAACTGAAAATTACAATTTTGAAAACTGTCGCTTTCAGCGAAAGACCCATTAAAACCCTTCTTTCCTTAAGCTTAAATGAAATTTTCATCATGGGACAAGTTGACTATTTTCCACTTGCAGTTTTTTTATTGCTGGTACAGACAATTTTGTTAAACGTTAAGTATTTATTCAAAATGGTCTCAAAATAATGGATTACGAGGAAATAGTGGAACTCGAGGAAATAAATGCATAAAACCAGACGAGGATTGGCGAGGAACACGCAAGCGGAAAATCACCTGAATTAAACAGCAATTAGTTTTCAGTCGGTTGGCATATATAATTTTTATTTTTGCTAAAGCACAATGTTTTTCTGGTCGTCAGTTCAACTGGCCGACCTTCGCCCTGTTTCATGTTTGAAATGTCGGAGTAAAAGCTTTTGAAATTTGCAACTGAAACGTAATTTATACTAAAAGACTATATTCTCAGCATAAATTTTTACAAAAGCTGAAGAGATATACATCCACAGCAACTCTGTCAGTTGCAAAATTTAGCACAATATTTTCACCGTACACTTCATAAATTTGTCGGCACGTTTTTGCAGCGTTTTTACCTTTTTTATACTCAAAAAGCATCACATGTTAGATATTTCACTCATCTTCAAAGAAAGTAAAGAATTAGAAAACTATCTTAACAAAAATTGAAAGCTGAAATGTCACCTTTTCAGCACATGTTCGTTTGAGACAATAAGATAAATGTTGCCCGATATAACAACGTCAATACCATCTATAGGCAAAAAATCGCGGAAACCTTTTATATCAATCATTATTTAATGCACCTATCTAAAAAGTCCTGATTTGCTAAAAGTGTGGAAGAGAATACAATTTTCGTGACTGTTTATCAGCATTTTGCGGAAGTAATTCATTGAAAACTGCTTTTAAATATTTAGAAACTTGACCTTTAAAATTTTTTTTTTTTTAATTTTCTAAACCAAGAGGGATTACCTGCTTAAAGTGCTCAAGTCTATTAAAATTTAAATTTTTAGTTTTATAAGCGAAAAATGTACCTATCATTCTTAGCAACTAAGTGCTTAAGTTGTGGTTGCTTCAAACTTAATTTAATTATATTGGAAATAAAAGACACAAGCTTCCCCAACCACAAGGATATAAAAAAATTTTTTTTTTATAACCGAAGAGTTGTGTTCAAATGAATTCTGAAAGTTTGCTTAACGTGAAAAATAAACAAAATTGCAAAAACTTGTTAGTATTAATAAAGTTCTACTTTGTATTTTATAGAAAAGAAAAATAGAAAAAAAAAAGAAAAAAACACTGACACACTTAAACTTTTTCTCATATTATTTATGGCTTTCAACACAACAAACAAAAAGAAGAGAGTTTTTTAGCTTACCTTGTTCATACAAGCTAGAATATTCACCTCTATTCTACCTTGTTATGTTGGAAATGTAAAAATAAATAAAAATCAAATAAAGAAAAAAAAAACACAGCAATCCTAAATAGACAAGTGTTACAAGAAGAAAAATTAAACGTAGATGCATACAAATTATGTGAATATTTTGGCAAAATCTGCAAATATTTAGATATAAAATTTAACAAAAAGACTAAATGTGTTTTGAATGCTCGTAACAAAAAAAAAAAGGAGAAAATAGGAAGCGAACGAGAGAAATGAAGTTTTGAAAATAATTTTAATAGCAGCTAAATATAAGAACATAACCGCCAAGAACTTTAAAAGCAACAGCAATAATAAGACCGACAAAAAGAACATTCACAAACGTCGTAGCCACAGTAGCAGCTGCGTCAGTCGACAGCCATTACAGCGAAAATTACTTAAAACAGCTCCCCAAAGAAGAATATCCGCCTAGCAACAACTACACCGCAGGGATCTATGCTCTAACTTTAGTCAAAAGAACAACTGCAGCATTTACAATGAGCACAAAAACATTTCTAACATCGCTCTTATTATCAGCATAAGGGTCTGCAATACCAGCGAGTATCAACAAAAACATCAAACAACCGAACAAACGGTTGGCAACGGCGACACCAAAAGCCAGTCATGCTGCATTAAAATGCCCCTAAGACGTTTAATACTAGCATTGTTGGCAACTGTCATCTGTGCCATGGGTAGGTACTATTATAAAGAGACAACAACAAAAGTAACTTATACGCACAACTGTGATTTAATTTATTAGAATTTAAATGAAAACTCACAACACAAGGAGAATACTTTCAAGTCAAGTAACCGTTCAATAGTATAGGAACTATATTTACCTACAATCGCTTGCAAAATGATTTTACACATTTTAATAGAATTTCTCAAAAACGCTTTTATTAAAAACACATCTTCTATTGAAACTTTACAAATTTATTTATTTTTGAAATGTGTGTTCGACGCCACAACAAAACACAAACTAAATTAAATTAAGTTCATCTCAGATCGATTCTTTAGCACTCATAAATTTTTTGATTCGGATCAAATATTTAATTTCCGTGCGCCGCTTATTATCTAGTGAGTGATGGCTTTCAATAGCGAGTGTTGATTGTATAGCTTCTTTGGCTGCGCCGTTTGTCTGCTGAAATCACTGTCACAATTCCCTATCGTCTAGAAAACCAGACTTGGGCTCAAACTTTTCCGCGTTATAGTGTTAGGTAAGTTTTGAAAATGAACCGAAATTTAAGAAAAAAAAAAAAACAATTGAAAACGCTGTAGTCGGTACAGTTGGTGCAGTTCACCGTTAAAAACCCTACAGTTATTTGCATGACGACTTTTTAAGATAAGCCATTATATGGGCAGAGGTCGGAAAAGCAATTCGTACCGGATCACATTCAAAAGCGTACGCCCTCGTCAGCGTACCAAATATTACCAAAATGTCAACCTTAGTGAATTTTCAGCACGTAGGTCTATTTTTTGGATACCAACGCCTATAAGGATTTCTCCAATATACGGGCTTTTAGGAAAAATATGCTTTTGCATGAAAATATTGTGCAACTTGTAGGGTATTATTACCAAAACGAATGAACAACTGTATTAGGCGAAGTGATGTAGGGTATCTAGTAGTCGGCCTTACCCAACTACAATGTTCTTAATTCAAAGTTCACAACGCCTATAAATCCTAACTCCGTGCAGGTCACTTCGGATACTAATATTTTTCTTATTTACATTTTAAACGCATTAGTGGCGTTATATATGACGCCTGGCATTCGGTTCGGTTGATTTAGCCTAGCTGAGCAGTATGTACAGAAAATAACTTATTTAATATATTCTACATGGAACACTTTTCCGTTTATATCTTTGATATATATAAGAGATTTCTTAATGAATAGGCCTTACTAATATATATATGCCATAACTACTCAATAAGATGGGAAAAAATTTTTTAAATTTCACTTTTTTTTGTAAGTTGCAAACCAAGAAAAAAAAAAGAAACAGATTTTCAAAGGATTTCAAAATTATTTAATATTTTAATAATTATAATATAATATTTTAAAACTTTACCAAATTCTCCAGAGCACTACCAACAACTTATATATTGACCCAAAGTGAACCATAATGTGATTTAATGGCTTTTGTAAATGATTTAATTCTTGTTGAGAACATTTTTGTTGCCTTCCGTTTACCCTTTTCCTGACTGTTCGTTAACAAATTAAACTATTATCGTTCTGTGTTTCGTGTTCATTTACGCCATCGTGTGGTGTGCAACCCTGACGGTTATTTTGTTCCGTAAAGCATAGCAATCATAGCTTTGCGTGGGTGCATGTGTATATATTTAGTCACTATTTATATTACATAAACGAAATGTTTTCTTTGCTCCGCTTTTCTTTTTTTCTTTTTTCTTTTTGTAATCTTAACACCAACTAACAGATGTATGTTGCCAAACAAACATATATACATGCACGTATATATTCATTTGGTTTGCATGTAGGTTACGCACACCTATATATGAATGCACTTACTATCTGTGCTAATGGGAGTTTATTCATTTACACAAATGCACAGTTTTCTCGATGTGTATTTATATAAGTACTTGCCCGCGATACATATTCGCAAATGTGCGTAAATGTTTACTTGGGTTAGAGATATGAATATTGATGTTTATTAATGCAGTTTTTGTTGTCTATATGTATGCGATTTTATTTGTCTTCTGTGTACCTAGTTGTACGTTTTATAAGTTAAATAGAATTTTTCTGACTATGGATATCATTTGCGGTTGTTGGATACGTATAACAAGAATATTTAAAAAGTCGATAGAAAGACTTTAAAAAAATATATCTCACACAGTCGAATAGTCTTGCGTTAACTTGATTAAGCATTCGGTCATACCCCAAAATATTCTTCTGAAACTCTGTAAATTCTTGAAGAACATGATAATTGATTTAGTCATGGGAATCGATTTTTCTCAAGAGTTATTTTTTACATTAAAGTACCCTTAGTTATACTTTACAGCAAGATGCTCTTATGCACGATTTAAATGGTTTTGAAGGAAATCAATAATTTTAGAGTTGATATTTTTCATTCGTTCTATTTTACTTGGCTTTGCTGTCAGCTACAATCGTTGCGACTTTTATATTGGTAAGGGTTTGGATAAAGATGACTAACAAGTAAGAAGCTAAACTTATAATGATTCGGCAGGATTCCTAATCATGTATTCTGTTTTGCTCGACTTCGAAACACCAAGTCGATTGCTCCTTATATCCCTGTGTAATATTAACAGGTGACCTGAAACGCTTAGTCTGATCTTTCAGTGTTGAATTGTTGAATGATGTTGCATAAGTTGGGTAGTGATCATCACAAAAGAAATAATGCATTTTGTTGAAACAATCAACTATTTCTACTATCTTGAATCCATGCTATTAAAAATAAACAAAAATTTTCAAAAATTGCACTCTTTTCACTTATTCTTTAATTTGGAAATGTAATTCGATAAGGTTTGAATTATGTCAAAATTTGTTGCTTCTTTTGCTTTGATTTTATATTTATGTTTTTCGACTTACGACGCACTTCAAGTAGACGCACATATGCAATGATATATAGGCATACTACAATGCCCATATATAAAAATAAGTTAGAGATGCACAAGTTGACCCGAATTGTTGAATATCTGTCACAAGCCATACTTGTGTGTATAACGTGGTATGTCACGATCTTAAGACCACTTTCTTTTTTATCTCGCTACACTTCAACTCGAACATAGAGTTTCGCTATTCAGTATCTATTTTCTTTTACACTGTACAGTTTACAGAAAACAAGAAGTAATTTCAATAAAATTCTAAAAGTTGTTGTTGTCAAGTAGCAATGAATAGTTGTTACTGCTACTTGCAATTTAAATTTTTTTATATTGTACTTATGGACTGAATTTTCACTGTACACTATTTTAAATTTTTTTGCATCTGAAATGAAAATGAATTGTTTTTGTTTTATAAATATGTAATTTTGTCTTCGTCGTCATCCTTTTTACACGGTTTTCTGAGAAAATATTTAGAGTTTTTCAATTTATACGATTTTTTTAAATTGTGGAACATTTCTCCAAATTTATCATATATCGCTTTTATTTGTTTACGCTATCTTTCTTGCACGGTTTTCTAAGAAACGTATCTGTCGTGTAAAAGAGAATTAGCTGTTAATATATACATATATTTATATTCGCACTCTCTGCACATCATTTTTATTGGGTTGTTTATAAGTGGAAACGGAGTTTTTTCAAACTGGCGCGATTTGCGAAGCGGGCACGAAGAACTTATGTTTCAAGTTTAAAGCTAGTAAGGTGAAAATGCCAAGGAAAAATGGAAAATTGTCACCTTTTTGGTAGTAGTCAACCAAACTCGACTGTAGCCTTGATATCTAGACAAATTTTGAAGGCGTAATGAAGAATTCTCCAAGCGGACCGATAGGAAGTCATACATCGCTGATTTAATTACGCCGTACAAGCTGCACAAATATTTGTAAATTTGATGGAGACTTGGAATTCCGTTGAGAATTGACAACATTTGCTACTCGGACGTGACCACTGCTTATCTGTCCCTCTGTCCGCTCCTTTCTAACAATCACCTTGTTAAACGTACAAGAGCCGTCCCCCGACTGATTGCTTATAAAATATGTAAATACCCACAATATATACATATAAATTTTGTAAATATCTTCTAAGCACAGATAAAAATATTTTGAATCCTATTTCTCACGACATAAATATGTTTATGAAAATTGTCTTCATTCGCTAGGAAAGCTTTCCAAGTCAAAGCAAGTAATCCCTTTGTCATTGTAGTGCTATACCGCAGAAGCAATTATTGTGCAAATAATACAAAACAACTCGCAATATGGTGCAGTTGATGTGTCTGCAAACAATAATATTATTTTCCAAAATAAAAAAACAGCAGTTTTGCTTTATTAGACATTTGCAAATTATATAATAAAGAAATATATTGTTGTAATTAAACAAAAATGCAATGCGGGGAGCTTAATATTCCCACTCGTTTTATCTTTCAAATCTAAACGAAGCTTTTAACAACGCATTAAAGTTCAAGGGATTTTGTTCTCTAGTGCTCAGAGTTTAACAAAATTTGAAAGAACCTTCTCGGGTTACATTATGATCTGAAATACCATTCTTCCTGGCCAAGAATATAAAAAGTTAAAATAACAATGTTTTTTGAGAAAAATTCAAATTTTTGTTATATTTCTGTTTTCCTAAAATGAATTTAAAAAAAAAAGATAAATCACGTTTTTTGAAAAATTTGAATTTTAAAATTTAAGGCTTAAAATTTAAATATAATATTACACTTTTATTAAACTTTACTTCAATTTAAATTCAATTCGTTAAATTCATATCTAAAAACTACATACATCAAGCTAATCTAGATTCTTATGGTTAACAATCTTCAACAACATTTTCAAAGCTGGGGTAGATTTAAAAAAATAAAATTAATTCCAAAAATTGAAAGGACTTGTCGAAAAAATGTTTTTATTTTTTACAGCATTTAAGCTTTGTACAATTCGTGTTCTTTTCAATTGGATGAAACGATTGAAGTAAGTACCATAAAGCGACGAACGCAATTCTGGCTGCAAATGAATCAAATAATTTCTGCTTTGACGACTTGTCGTATAACAGTAAATTATATGTTACATCACAAAA